ATCGATCTACTCATCACTGCTGCTGCCCATCGCCCAATCCAGGTGTCTCGAAACGTTTCCATGCTTCACATGTCTATATATATATATATATATATATATATATATTCCTCTTCGAATATTCTTATATCGGAAAACCCCCCCTGACCCCCCCCCCCCCCCCGTACATAAATTCGGCCCTGGGCGCTCCCACCGACGGGAAATTCGATTTTCCTGTTTCGGGCACCCCTCCCGGCCATCCTACACCGCCCGAGCGGGCCCAGGATCGCTTCCTGGACGAACCCGCAAAGCTCCGAGACGGCCCATGAGCGCTCAGAAAGGCCTCAAGGTGGTTTCAAGACGACCCAAGAGGCTCCCAAGACGCTCCAGGAAGCCCCCAGTGAGACCCCCAAGACGCAAAAATCGTTTCATTCCTATAGGAAAACGTACATTTTTATCGTATTCGCTTCTTTGGCCTTCACAGCGTCCAAGACGGCCCAAGAAGCCCCCAAGATCGCCCCAGGATGACCCAAGAAGCCCCCAAAAGGGCTCAAGACGGTCTCAAAGAGCTCCAACACGACCCAAGAGAGCCCCAAGAAGGCCCCAAAGGACCCCAAAAGGCTTCCAAGAGGGTCCCAAAGAAGGCCGCAGGAAGCCCTCAAGAGGGCCCAAGAGAGCCCCAAGACGGCTTAAGCCCCCCAGGACGGCCCAAAAGGGTCCCGGGACGGCCCAGGAAGGCCGCCAGACGACCCAAAAGAGCCCCAAAGGGAGCCCCACGAAGGCCCCGAGATGCCATACTCTTTTCTTTCCGGTTACATGCACCGAGACCAAGCGGGAGGAGGAATGAGACAGGAAAGGCAAGACAGGAGACATGAATCTCATATCCAGTTTCGACGGTCAAGTACTTCACGACTCTACCTCTTCAGACCGTTTTCAGACCACCCGTCCCAAGTTCATCTGGCATCGGAGACCCGTCCTGACCCGCTGCTGGACGTCCACGGCAGCAGCGGCCCACTAACAACAATCGTTCATTCCTGCGTCTCTCTCCCTCTTCCTTTCCCCCCCTCCCCTGCCTTCTGCATCCCTTCCTGCCTCTCTCGCTCCTTCTCTCCACTCCACCTTCCTGCAACCTCTGTCCGTTTCCATTTTGGCTTCAGGACTCTTCGGTCCCGCTGGGGCCGCTTCGGCTCTCCCCGCCATGGCAAAGCGGCAACACCGATCCACCGGCCCTCCTCCAGATGTCCCATTTGACGACTCGATTTTTACAGCGTCATGGGCCGGGCTGTCCGCCTTATGCGGCAGACGCGGACTGTCTGTGCGCGGCAATCGCGCCACGCTCCTCGCTCGACTCGTCCCGCGGTGGACGCCCCTGGCAGCAGGCGAGGCCCCCGCGGGCCCGTCCTTCGCCTTAGCGGAGCTCCACCGCCTGCGGGCGGAGGTCGCCGAGCTGCAGGCGCTGCTCGACACCGAGGCCGCCGGAGACGAAGCTCCCCCCGCAGCTCCTGCCCTTGCAGACGCGGTGGTACCTCCACCAGATCCGGCTCCAGACGAAGCGCCCAAAGCAGACCACAACCACAACGACCTCGCAGACGAACAGGCTTCCTGGGAGCCTCCCGCTGCCTTCGTCGACTTCGCAACGTGTCTATCTGCGGACGCCGCGTCTGCTTCTCCAGTTTGGTCCAGGATCGCCGAGCGAGCTGACGTGAAGACGCTTCTTTACGCAGAGTCCGTGTTGACTTCTGCGTTGGACCGCGACGAAGACATTTTCGGTTGGTTGACTCTCATGCACGTGGCGCCTCGGCGCCGCGTGGTGCTCGCCTTTGCAAAGTGGGTATCCTCCCACGCCGCCACGTTCACCGTGCAAAACGCCATAGACGTCGTCCACCATTTGACTGAGCGCTTCAAGCCCGGAGAGTCGCGGTTCGACACCCGCCGCCCCGTCGGCGGGTTGGCCGTGCTCCAGGAACTCGTGAACGACGACGCCAGCATGGCGGCCCTTCGCCAGTTCGTAGACCACTTCACCACGACGCCGCCTGCCGAATGGCGCCCAAGTGTCCTCCACGCGCGGCTGGAGTCGCGGAAGACGAAGCTTATGCACCTCCACGCCGGGTGCAAGTACCTGCGGGGACACACGGTCCGACAGATCTTTCTTCACGCGGTCCGCCGCGACGACGCCTGCACGTGGGACAAGCCGGACTGGGACGTGATCACCGAGCTCCTCCCAGGGACTTCCGACGGCGCCGCCGAGGTCGGCATCGTCGGCTACGACGACGCCGTCCACGCGATCGCCTACGTCAACTCCATGCTCGGCGAGGCCCCGCCGCTCACGCTGGCCGACCTCAGCATGGCCTTCTGTTTGCGCCCTCGGGCGCCTCGGCCTCACATCGACCACGACGTCCCGTTGGAGCTCCCTGAGTAGCTTCCTCAACTGCTCTTCCTCTCTGCCACTCTCTCCAAAAACCCTCTCCCCCTCTACCCTCATCCTCCTCCTCCTCGTCTTCCGCTCCTTCCCCTCACGGGCCTGCAGTCATTGAGCTCTGCCAGCCCGCGGCGCCGCGCGAGAGGCCGGCGGAAGGGTACGAGCAGGAAGGCACGAAAGACAACAGAGGAGGAGGAACAATAATATAATGAGGAGGAGGAGGAGGACGAGGAGGAAGAGGACGCGGATCAAACCCCATGAGCCGCATGAGACCCATGAGCCCTACGAGCCCTACGAGCCCTACGAGCCCCGCGCGCCCTACCAATCCATTCAGCCCCATGAGCTTCCCCAGACCCCCATAATCCCCCCGAACACCATGAGCCCCATGAGCCCAATGAGCCCTACGGCACTTGGGGCCCTCGAGCCCTACGACTCCCATGGGCCCTACAAGTCGATGAGCCCCCAGAGCCCCACGAGCCCTACGAGCCCTATGAGCCCTACGGGCCGTACGGGCCCTCTGGGCCCCACGCGCCCCATGAGCCTTACGAGCCCTACGGGCCCACCCGCCCTACGACCAATATGAGGCCCACGAGCCCCATGACCCTTCTGAGGGCCATCCGCCCCGTGAACCCATGAGCCCTACGAGCCCTACGAGCCTTACGAGCCCTATGCGCCATAGGAGCCCTACAAACGCCGTAGCCTCTATTAGGAATCCTCCATTAGCCCTGTGACCCCATGAGCCGTACGAGCCCCGCCAGCCCCATGAGCCCTTCTCTCCACAAATCCTCTCCCCATCTACCCCCATCCTCCCCCTCCCGGGCCTGCGGTCATGGAGCTCCGCCGGCCAACGGCGCCACACCAAAAGCCGGCGGGACTGTACGAGCAAGAAGGCACGAAACACAACAAAGGAGGAGGAACAAGACGATACTGAGGAGGAGGAGGAGGAGGAGGCGGATCAGACCCCATGAGCCGTATGAACCCCATGAGCCCTACGACCCCTACAAGCTTTACGAGCCCCACGCACCCTACGAATCCATTGAGCCCCATGCGCCCCCCGAGACCCCCATAATCCCTCCCAGCACGACGAGCCCCATAAGCTTGATGAGCCCTACGGCACTCGGGAGCCCCATGAGCCCTACGACCCCGATGGGCCCTGCGAGCCTATGAGCCCCCAGAGCCCCACGAGCTCTACGAGCCCTGTGGACCGTACGTGCCCTGTGGGCCCCACGCGCCCCATGAGCCCTGCGAGCCCTACGGACTCACACGCCCTACGACCAATATGAGGCCCACGAGCCCCGTGACCCTTCTGAGGGCCATCAGCCCCGTGAACCCATGAGCCCTACGAGCCCAACGAGCCCTACGAGCCCTATGCGCCATAGCCTCTATTAGGAATCCTCCATTAGCCCGGTGACCCCATGAGCCGTACGAGCCCTACGCGCCCTGCAAGCCCTCTGAGATTTCCGCGCCCCATGAACTCCAGGAGACCTTTGACCCATACGACCCTTATGAGCCCCATCAGCCCCGTGAGCCCCATGGGCCCTACGAACCCATTGGGCCCCATGAGCCTTCCGAGCCCCATAAGCCCTCCGAGCACCATGAGCCCCTTGAGCCCTATGAGCCCTACAGGCCCTGGGAGCCCTATGAGCTCACGACCCCCATGGGCCCTCCGAGTCCATGAGCCCCGAGAGACCCAAGAGCCCCACGAGCCAAACGACCCCTATGAGCCCTACGAGCCGTACAACCCCTGCGACCCCCACGAGCCCCATCAGCCCCATGAGCCCTACGGAGCCCACGAGCCCTACGACCAGTATGAGCCCCACGAGCCCCAAGACCCCTCTGACCCCTATCAGCCCCGTGAACCCATTAGTCCTACGAGCCCTGCGAGCCCTACGCGCCCCAGGAGCCCTGCAAGCCCCGTCCGCCCTCTAAGCCCTATGACCCCCACGGGCCCTGCGAGCCCTACGAGCCCTCCGAGCCCTACGCGCCCCATGAACCACTGGACACCTACGACCCGTATGAGCCTCATGAGCCCCATCAGCCCCGTGAGCCCCATGGGCCCTACGAGCCCATTGAGCCCCATGAGCCTTCCGACACCCCATGAGCCCCATGAGCCCTATGAGCCCTACGGGCCCTTGCGACCAAGATTTTAAAGGCGAAGCGCAGCGAGCCGGTAAAATCTTGTGTATATATATATATATATATATATCCCTTTTCCGGGTTCGTGGGTCCAGCACGTTGTTCCTCCCCAGGGTAACGCTCGCCACCCTGGCCCCCATCCCCCCCCACACACACCCTGGGTGACGCCAGCGATGGTGCTGTGGGGGGGCGGGGGGGCCTGGATCCCCCCCCCCCTATTGTGCTGTGGTGCGCAACCTGCAAGCGATTGATGCGCCGGTGGCGCGGACGCGCCCTGGCAGGCACACGCCGCGGCCGCCGTTCCCCCTCCCCCGGGTGGCGACCGCTACCCGGGAGAGAAGACAACAAAAACGGTCACCGTGGCGTTGCGTCGCATGCGCGTGAAGCTTCCCCCCCGATGGCCCAGAGTGGTTGTCGGGCCGGCGCGCCCTGCTGGACGCATGCTTTCCGAGTGGCCCTGGCGTGGGAGGAGCTGCCGCTGGGCGACGTGGAGCGGCCGAAGGACGGCCACGTCTGGGCTGTGGGGAAGCTGACGTCCAGGGAAGGGGCGGTGCAGCTCACGCCGTGCTCCGAGGTCGGCTGGGCGGGACGAAGGGTGATGGGCCTGTCTTCCACCACCATAAGTTGGAGGGGGGAAGAGGGGGATGAAGAGGAGGAGGAGGAGGAGGAGGAGGAGGAGGAGGAGGAGAAGCAGGAGGAGGAGGAGGAGGAGGAGGAGCAGGAGGAGGAGGAGGAGGAGGAGGAGGAGGAGCAGGAGGAAAAGGAGGAGGAGGAGGAGGAGGAGGAGGAGGAGCAGGAGCAGGAGGAGGAGGAGGAGGAGGGAGGGGAGAAGGAGGACCCCCATCCCCCTCCAACTCATGGTGGTGGTGGTGGAAAAAGGGGCCCATCAGAGAGGGGCCGGCAGCGAAGGCCGGGCGAGCCCGACCGCCGCGGGGACCTCGGGAGGAGGAGCAGGTACCCATCGGTCGTTGAAAGCAGGCATTCTGGGGTGCCCGGGTTCCAATCCAGTTTCGGCGCCTTCCGACTTCGAGGGTTCCAATTCAGTTTCGGCGGTAGATCCCGGGTGGGTGGGGTAGATCCCGGGTGGGTGGCGGTCTGCTGATGCGGCCGAGTTCCTCAGTCAGGCGCGGCCTCCAAGCTGAGCGGGCCTTGAGGCTGGATCCACCACGCAACCAGTCGGCGCCTTCCTACTTCGAGGATCGAGTGGCTTCGCCTTTTCCGTCCTCTTTTGGGGGGCGGGCGGACACCCGATCTGCCTTCCACGCCTTCCCACTTCATTGGTTCTACCTACTCCTTCCGACCGATGGGCACCCATGATTACCGCTGCCCTTCGCCCGCTTATACCTTGTTCGTGCCTCCTGGGAGGCCCTCGTCGCCACCGCTGGGTTCGCCCCGAGGTTCCGACCAGGACGCGCCCCCGGGAGAGGTCCAGGGAGCAGCGGCATCGGCACCTTTGAGGTCTCCCCCCGACCGCACCGTGCCACCCGCGGGGCACGCCCCCGGCAGCGGGAGTGCAGCACGAGGCGGGGACGTTGGCTGAACGTGCCGCGCCGCTGGCTCTAGCCCACCCGCCTCGGCTCCACGCGCCAGCCACGCTCCGGCCCCCGAGCGCGAAGTGGGGGGCCACGTGCGAGCCCTACCCCTGCCCCCCACGATCTCTGAGGGGGAGGGCGGGGTTTCGCTTCGTTCGGGAGCTCCCGAGCCCCACCCTCCCCACCCTCCTCCTCGGAGATCGCGGGGGGTATGGGGTAGGGCTCGCACGTGGCCCCCATAATTATGAACGTCCCGAGCCTTCCCCGGCCCCCCGCCCCGCGGTGCGAGGGGGCACGGGCATGACGCCGACAGAAGCGTCGCCTGGGGTGCAGGAGGGCGTTCGAGGCTCCAGGTTCTGGGGGGCGCTTCGTCGGCTCCTGCCGTGTTCCCAGCCTCTGGATGCCTTCCCGCAGCTGCTCCTCGCCGAGAGCGTCCTGGGGATGCCCGGATCGTTCCCCGAACGGCCGTTGGAGAGCCGAGTTATGACACCAAATTCGGGGGCGTTAAGATGAGACCAGGGGAGGGGATAAAGTCAAGACGCTGAAATACGGGCAACGTTGCCCTGACTTCGGATCCGCCGTACGTTGATCGCTCGTCCGACCCAGAATCGTTTCGGACATGCACCCCGAACGATGCGAAACAGTAGGGTGGACATGCCCACCTCGGCCAAGTAGTGCGGACGTTTGAGCAAAAGTACGGCGGAAACAACGACGGCAACGTAGGCCAGCATAAATCCGGCGTGAATCCGACGTGGATGCGATACACATTCTGTCTCGAGCTGCCGCGCAAGGCCTCCAGGACCTTCCTGTTAGTTCGCTGAGGCAATTTCTTCTTCGGCTCCTGAGCAGGCCAGTGGCCGCGTCGTGCGACGCGCCCCCGCTGGCCACCTCGTCTTTTCGATGTAAATCCGACGTAAGTCCGACGTGGGTCCGACGTACATTGGGTCCGAGTTGCCGCACGAGGCCTCCTTCTTCAGCCTTCTCCCCCTCCCCCTCCTGCTTTCCTCCGCCTCCTCCTCCTTCTGCTTCTTCTCCTACTTCGTCTCCTCCTCCTCCTCCTCCTCCTCCTCCTCCACCTTCCTCTCCCCCGCCGCCTTCTCCTCCTCCTCCTCCTCCTCCTCCTTTTCCTTTTTCCCCCCCTCCTCCTCCTCCTCCTCCTTCTCCTCCTCCTCCTCCTCCCCTCCTCCTCCTCCTCCTCCTCCTCCTCCTCCTCTCCTCCTCCTCCTCCTCCCCCTCCTCCTCCTCCTCCTGCTCCTGCTCCTCCTCCTCCTCCTCCTCCTCCTCCTCCTCCTCCTCCTCCTCCTCCTCTCCTCCTCCCTCCTCCCTCCTCCCTCCTCCCTCCTCCCTCCTCCCTCCTCCCACCTCCCTCCTCCCCACCTCCTCCTCCCTTCCTCTTTCCCTCCTCCCCCTCCTCCTCCCCCTCCACAATTACTCAATATGAATATACTCTCCCTCTTCCCCTGATGGCGTCCGGGTGATAGCCGCGCACCCTCCGCGTACTGTTTTTTTACACAGGATGCCCGGGAAATCCCGGGAAACGACTCTCGCTGAGGCGCCGGCGTCATTTTTTCACAAAATGCTGCTCTCGTTGAGGCGCCGGCCTCATTTCTGCTCCCGAATCGTTCCGAATCGTGCTCCAGCTGCAGCGTGGGCCTCATTTTCGAATCGGTGTTTGGCCTCCGTCGTTCAGGATGGCGTTCTCGCCCCAGCGCGGGCCTTTTTCTCGCGCGCCCATCCGCCCGCCACCACCGGCCGCACCGACACCACCACCACCACCACCCCCTACCACCACCACCACCACCACCACCACAACCACCACCACACCAGCACCAGTACCAACACCACCACCACCAGCACCACCGACCACCACCACCCCCACCACCACCACCCCCACCACCACCACCACCACCACCACCACCACCACCACCACCACCACCACCACCACCACCACCACCACCACCACCACCACCACCACCACCACCACCACCACCACCACCACCACCACCACCACCACCACGACAACCACGCACACACGCACGCACGCACGCACGCGCACCACCACCCACTACGCCGCGCGCGCGGAGCCACAGGTCCGCTACGACATGCGTCCGCGGATAGAGAAAATCAGCGCCATGGTAAGGGATGGGAGGGAGGGGTAGGACGTCAGATATGACGCGAGCGCACCTAGCTTGCCCCTCCCCCCCCTCCCCCCTCCCTCCCCCCTCCCATCCTCCCCCCTCCCTCCCTCCTACCCTCCCTCCCTCCTCCCTCCTTCCTCCCTCCTCCCCTCCTCTCCTCCTCCTCCTCCTCCTCCTCCGCCTCGTCCTTCTCCTCCTCCTCCTCCTCCTCCTCTCCTCCTCCTCCTCATCCTCCTCCTCCTCCTCCTCCTCCTCCTCCTGTCTAGGTGTCCTTCACCTCCTGTCTATCCTCCGTTTCCTCCGGTCTATCCTCCTCCTCTACCTTTCTCTTGTCGGCGGCGAGCGAGGAGGCCTTCTCAGAAGGCGGCGGGGCTTCTCAGAAGGCGGCGGGGCTTCGCAGACGCCGCATCTTCGGGGAAGGCTTGGACCGGAGAAGCCCCGCCCCCGACCCTCCGAGCCTCCGGAGAAGCCCCGCCCCCCGGCGCGCCGCCGAGGCTGCCCTCCTCCTCGGGCCGAGGCCCGCCCCGTCGCGCCGCCGAGACTGCCTGCCTCCCTCCTCGGGCCCGAGAGGTCGGCAGGCCCGACTGGGCCGCCTGCCACGCGGCCCTGGACCTGCGGCCGCTGTAGGCCGCGCGGTGGGCCCCGAGCGGGCGCTGTGGGCCTCGGGGGGGCGGCGCCTCCCTGGAGGAGCAGGCTCGGCGGCGAGCCCCAGGGAGGAGGAGGAGGAGGAGGAGGAGGAGGAGGAGGAGGAGGAGGAGGAGGAGGAGGAGGAGGGAGGAGGAGGGAGGAGGAGGGAAGAGGGCGGAGG